AGAGAGAGAGAGAGAGAGAGAGAAAAGAAAGAAAATGTCGAAATCATGGTCCGGATGCGAACCGAAGAGGAGACGGCACAAAGAGGCATTCAGTTATAAGTTATCGGGACGCTCGGCCGATATAATTAATTTACTCTGGAGTCGGTCTCCTCGCGCTAATCACCGGCACGCTTTTAATCTCGGAATCCATAAATATCACGATGCTGAAAGACTGGAGGGAATTCTCGCGAAAGCAGGAAGCGAACGCGCCTTTGGCCCGTTTTTCCGCTGATGTTTCTTCGTCGGTTTTCTGACCGTCGAAATGCACGAGCAACACTCCGAGCATGAGAAATGATCATCGCAGACGGTGTGGAGTTTACGTCGTTCACAAAATTCTAGAAACACGTGGTTGGATATCAAACTTGGAATATTTAGTTTGTTTCAACAAAGTCGAAGTAGAAAGAGAGTATACGATGATTCGTGCAAAATTGTGCAACTGTACTTTTGTAGAAAGTCTGCTGTCCGATTATCGATTTCGCAATTATAAGATGCTGCAAGATTGAAAATCTTAACGCGAGCCTTTGAAATTCGAATCGACACATTTTCAACCTACTGAGAGTCTTGAATTCGTAATTTGTATTGCAAATCATAGACAGAATAAGCGTTAAATACAGCCCCATTGAACATTCCAATTCGTGAATATAACTTTCTTAAAAATACTTTCTTCGTGATCTCTACTTGCCGTAAATATTCGAATTTGATTCCTGGCTGCTGGAATGAAAATTCGAAAAAACGTCCGTAATTGTTTCGATAAATGAAGCAATTCTCTTTCCCAAGGCAGTGATTTTTTCGCGGCGGGGTTCGAAGGGAGAAAAATCGGTGGACGCGTGTTCGGCGATCGGAGTACGTTGACATCCTCCTAGATTCAATGTACGATGTAAATATTTGCCAGCAAGGGCAGATAGGGATCGATAAATTTTTGGACAGTTCGAGCATTATTCGGTTCGAGCTCACAAAGAGTCGTAAATCCTTACGCAGCTGTTTCCCCCGATTCTCTCCCTATTATCGCCCGGTTATATTTTCCTTGCTATCCATTCATCGGAATCTCGACGCGAGCCACGCGAGACCCCGCGATACACGCGATACACACCAGAGATACGCGTTCGCTCTAATCTCGATATAATGCGTGCAACCCCTTTGCCTTCGTCTTCTCTCCTTCGCATCGCCCGTGGTCCCGGCCTTCTTCGAAATCCCGAGAATAAAATTGTTCGTCCGCGTCCCCGTGCCGGCTCGCTGACGGACAACGAAGTCATCGAGCTGCTTATCGCACTCGTGCAATCGTATCCCTAATTAGCGGAATAATTAACGTATTTGGAAGGCGGCTCGAGACTGGTTTCTTTCTTTTTATTTTTTATTTCTTTCCTTCTTTTCCATTTGTTTATTTGCAACATAATGCTCCTTTTCTACGAGAAAAAGAATTACGAAAGGAAAGGACGTGGCTGAGAGAAGGTTAATTCATCGAGGATCAGCTCGAAATTCTTCTCGATCGATTTATCATCTGTTTCCTTTTCCTTCTTTTTTTTTTTTTATATTAGAATAATATTTAATGCTTGAAAGAACATTCCAAGACTTAATGTTTCGTTATTTTTACGCCTTTCACCTGGACTTGCAGAGTTTTCTAAAAATTTCAATCGAAGTAGGTATTTATGATATATGGTGATAAATTCATGAAGCATAGATTTGGTTACAGACTTGTTTGATTTTATTCTTCGTGACAGGAGAAGTTATCAATAAAATGAAATAAAATTAAAAATTCGAAAGTTAAGCAATTTAAATTGATAGTATATTTCTAACCAAGGATTAATTGATTAAAATCTAGATACTAAATTACATACAAATAACTCTGTACACGATGAGCCGTTAAAGATAAAATTCTACATGCAACGAAATATATAGTTGAGCGTGTTTAATATGACGTTATAAAATTCTTTTTCCCTTCATTCAATCGCTTTGTTTGCGATTTCGCTTTGAGAACTCTTGTCTGCCACTGTCGAGGACTCACGTGAAATCTAATCGAACGGAATAAGTACATATCATAGGTATCACAAGGGGGGACAGCCACGTGTGAATTTCACCGAGGTTGGTTACCCATAATACTCATACATCGTTCCTCCGACAACTTGATGATCGGTGATTCTTCTTCAATAGCAAGTCAAACAGGATATCATCGGTTTATCGTTGCGTTACCATGGTAATTATGCGACAAAAATATCGATAAATCTTCCTCCATGTACTGCGGTGGTATTTTTTTCTAAAAGTAT